CCCCAAAACCCCAAAACCCCAAAACCCCTTTGAAATTTACAAAGTTGAACAAGATAAATCATTAAGCCCATTAATTTTTAGAGCAGTCATGTAGGTTTAAATGGCATCGAAACTTGATTGGAAATCTTAATTGATCAGATTTTACACAAACCAGGCTAAAGTCTGTGAGAAATTTATTGTGAGTTTAAACTCAAAATATCAAATTTTCTATTAAGTTTCTTCATCTGTTCTCTGTTAAAACTTAGAATCATTATATTCTAGCTAGATAAAGTCTTTCTTGATTCATCTGGAAGACTCAAACTCAAGTAATAGGTCTGGACCAACTTGAGTCACGATCATCAAGGACTCTGTTGTTGACTAACACCGAAGGAGCGTGCTAAACTTCCTTGAGGCCACAGGTATTCTTGGAGGCCTCTTCGAAATTTTTGAATTAGGTTTCGGTATGATCCTGGGTCTCTACTCATCAGTGCTGTTCAAAAGGAAAATTTTCAAAGACATTCAAAAGTACCAGGACAAGTTTGACAAAATGGAAAAGTGAATTCAGCAGCTGGAGCTTAAAGTAAAACAGAACCAAACATCTAGGGTGGAGAATGATGGAGAAGGAGACGAACTCAGCCACAAGGAGAACCAAGAAGAGCAAGACGAAGAGTCTAAGCATGAAATGGTCAGCTTAAGCTACTGGAAGGAGGATCTATTGACAATTTTGGAGGAGAAAGTAGACTTGATCATTGTTCTTAAAAATACTACAAAAAGACTATGAAATGAATAAGGTGAATCACAATCTATATCGTAGCGACATTGGCTACTTTCTCAATGTGTTATATGAGGACAACAGCTTATTTTCCATCTAAAGACCCTTAATAATCAGAGTCTTCAAAGAAAAGCTCAGATTTATCAGTCGTGTTTGAATGAAAAGATGGCGTTACTACCCTCAAAGTAACTTGTTACACCTGTTCTTAACTATACCTGCTCAAACTCTATCTAAATAACTCCGAAACTTTAAGAGGACAGAATAACTCTGGAAGGATCATAAACTCTCCTTCAGGACCTAGCCTAAGAGTTCTCCTTAATAGGATTTCTCAAGCAGCACTTAAATGATATAGAACTAAGAAGTTTCAATATTTACGTATCCAAACGGGGTTTTGGGGTTTTGGGGTTTTGGGG